TTGTTTCAGTTCTGCCATCTGGTTGGTTTTCATTGTCTGGGTGGCCCCGTTTCAGTAAACGCACTGTAACCCCTTTCGTTACTCACCAATTCCTTATCACGCCAATCCTTAATCCTAGAACTCAGAAGCATTGCTCTGCAAACTTAATGCATCACAACGAGATAAAAAAAAAAAAAAAAAAAAAACTACCTTCAGACAGGCCTTGATTATTCTGGATATCACAACAACCGAATCTAATAATTATTTTATTACACATTGAACGGAAAAAAAAATCAAACAACACAAAGCGCGCCAAATTGACATAAATACCCCTAGAAATCATGCGCCGCGGTCATTCATGACATGCTAACCCGTGACCTTAAGTGTCCTTGACATGATTATTGTATAATCTGCAGCTTGATGACGTCACAGGCGCTGTTTTCAAAAATCCACTGTACGTTTTCGGCCGGTCAGAAGTGAGATAGTGAGTTCAATGTGTAATAATGGTAATAATGGTAATTCAAATGAGGGAATTAGCTGAAGACTCTTTTTATGAGGTGCACAGACAAGGAGACGGAGAATAGGGGCTCCAACATGAAAGAAGTTTTAAAATTGGTACCAAAGTAAATTACAAGTAGATTAGGCTATAAAGTTTTCGTTTTACTTCTCGTGGTAACAGTTTCGGAAGGTCTGTTCCTATGCTTGTTTAAGACATCATTCATATTGAAGAAAATTATGCCTTTCGGGTAACCATTTAGAAGCAGTGTTTTCTTTAGATCAGAGAGAGCAGCCTGTAATGAAGAAAATGTTGAACAGATGCGAAAACAGCGATAAGCGAGGGTGCGGATCAGATTGATTTTGTATTTTCTTGGTGTGAACGAATCCCACTTGGTGTAAAGACCTGTGAAGGCCTTTTTTCGGTGTACTCTTTTTCGTTGTTTTTTCGGTGTTTTTCGAATCTGTTACCACGGTTCCCAAGAGAGATGTAACCCTTGTGCTTCCTTATTTAGGTTTACGAAGTGAAGTTTTTAAACGCCGTCTTAAATCTTGTGTTAATAAATTTTCTAATTTCGTCAATCTTAGGTTGATTTTTCAGAACACTTGCCGAGTTAAGTCCTTTTTTCCTTACAAAGATCGTTTAAATCGCTCGCAAAAATCTAAAGTCGAATACAAAGCCAGCTGCTGGGANTGTAATCCTTGTGCTTCCTTATTTAGGTTTCCGAAGCGAAGTTTTTAAACGCCGTCTTAAATCTTGTGTTGGTAAATTTTTTGGTTTCGTCAATCTTAGGTTGATTTTTCAGAACACTTGCCGAGTTAAGTCCTTTTTTCCTTACAAAGATCGTTTAAATCGCTCGCAAAAATCTAAAGTCGTATACAAAGCCAGCTGCTGGGATTATGACGCTTTCTATATCGGCAAAACAAAGCGACGACTGCATGACAGAAAGGTCGAGCATTTTAAAGCCCTTACGCGAGTGGGTCACGCTTCCGCTGTTGCTGATCACGCAATCTCCACCGGCCATAACATCAAATGCGACCATTTCGAGGTCTTAGCTGGTGGACAATGTGATTTACATTGTAAAATAAAAGAAACATTGTTTATTCGAGACTTAAAACCAACACTTAACGACAATGCTAGCAGTGAAAAGCTGTAACTTTATTAGCTATCACCTTTTGTTTTCGTTATTGTTTAGTTAGTTACCAGTACCTCGCTTTGCATTTTTAAATTTTAAATCTTTCGTTTTTTTGTAACCGCCACTTCTGGAGATGCGTGCCGTAGCATGCGAAACGTCAAGAAAATTTTAGATTGTTGTTCCAAACCATGCGTAGTTCAAGTGTTATGTTTGTTGTCGCTGTTTGCATTTTATTTCTTGTTAAATTGAAATGGCCGAAGAACAAGAGTGTTTATGATGTTTCTTGTTTTATATCGATGAAATAAAGAAACGTGTCATGTCTACACGAAAGAGCGCTGCTCCCGATTCAGCATCGTACCTTTTGACCGTTTTACCCGTGTGTGGGAATCACTGGTTTAGTTGTCGACAACTATCGAAACATGACACACATTTGAGCATGCGTGTTGTGTTTTTCGCATGCGTAGTGAACGTTACTTCCCAAGCTCTCGCCTACCTGACTTAGTTTCGACACTCCAATGTGTGGAATGCTCGTATCGGACACAATTAGTTGTCGGTCATACCAAAAGACATACTTGTAACAGCAACATATTTTTATTTATCTTATTATCATTAATATTAATATTATTATTATTATTTACTATTATTATTATTATTATTATT